TTAAGGGTTCATTAGGAGAGTGGAGAGATCATATTAGCGAAAACTGTTCTGAGACTGAGATTTAAGTTGGATGTTGAGGCAGTGCCTGGAGGACAGTGATATATATATACCTTTGCCACACATATTATAGTCCACAGATCAGCAGCATCAGCATCTCCTTGAAGTTTATTTGAAATGCAAAATCCTGGACCTTACCTCAGAACTACTGAATCAGAATTTACATTTTAACAGGATCTCCAAGTAATGCAGATTAAAATTTGAGAATTACCAATGTGTGGTATCAAGTAGGAAGCATCTGTCTAGGGAGGGATCCCAATTTATAGTGAGGGTGAGTAGGGTGTCTCTCAGGGCAGTTGGTGAAGTTCAGTGTCAACTAAGGTAGAGAGTTCAAGAGCTGGGTTCCATAGTTGAAGCTTCTGGCTCTCACCGTTACCATGTTTCTCCAAGACAGAGCAGGTCAATGGACACTTTCTTCTGGGAGTTCCCTGAGTGATGTCACAGTAATCCACACATCTAACGAGGAGCTCAGAGCCACAAAGACTTATATTAGCCAGTTCCCAGCTACCCAGCATATATATTTATCTTTCTCCTCACTCCAGCTCTGTTCTGTGCATCTAGTAGTGGGAGGGGAGAGGAAGGGGAGTGATGAGGGAGAAGCTTAGAGAGCCACAGGGGATCCTTTTTTAAAAAACATATTATTGTATTCCCAACTGATGCCAGAGTAAAACTAAATTCCTAGGAGGAAATGATGAACACTTGATTAGTGAATTGAAGTTCTTTTTAAGACTCAAAACACTGAGGCCTGGAAAACATGGCAGCAGGTGCCACACTTTGGTATCACCATTGTCATTTTCACAGTCTTTTAATAAGAACCTCTTTGGTATCTATTGCTTGAGCTGTATGGTTTTTCATTCTAATGACAATCCTATAGGAGTATGTTGCCATTTTTGTATGTCCAAGGTGAAAACTGAGGTTCGGGGGCTACATATTAATGCCAGAGTTGAGGTTCCAAGAGAGGACTGGTTCCCAAGCCTGAAGCGCCTGCCCTACACTGTGTTTCTGCCCCTGCATCATTCTCTCTCCCTCCCCTGCCTGCCTTTCTTTTATCATGCCCTGCTGGACACTCACAGAAAGGACCTCTTCCTCTTTGGAGACCTCAGTTTTCTCATCTCAGAGTGTTGGGACAGATGCTGTTTGAGGTACTGTCAAGCTCTATGTTTCTATAATTTACTTAAAAGGAACCCCACATAAGCATCTACTCAGCCAATTAGCCCTTGAAGTTTATTCAAACAATGCACCTTTAAATATAAAGAAACAAAAATAACATTGGTGAGCATCTGGATACACACAGAACAAAGCCTGGTGTGATCCCCACATACTGCATCTCTGTTTTCTTTTCATCTTTTTTTTTCTGCTGGATGGACTAAGCCTTGAAAAGTGGCAGATGAGGGTCTTTGGTTCACAGTGAGGACTCTGCAGAGAGGCAGTGGAAAGGAGGAGGAGCTTTGGGGAGAAAGGTTCAGAGCAAAAATAGAGGACATGGCATACTAAGACCGTCACCTGCTCTATGCCTCTAGTGATTTAAAAAGTTGAAAATGATATTACATAAAAACATATTAATATGGTGTTTTCTGAAAATGGAAAAGAGAGGAACAGTTGGTGAGAGCAGGGTGTGGGAAGTGGAGATGTGCCCAAATCGGACATTTCCTGCTTCACAATTTTGCTTCCCAGTTAGAAAGCCGTGCAGTTCTCCCACTTTTAGCATTGCTCCAAAGCATCAAGCACGACTCTTCAGCAGAAGACCATCCACATACATTGCTGATTAAATCTTTTTCCAGAGCAAAGACTATTTGGAATCACATTAATGATAAGAGTATGTGAAAAAACCAAACAACATTTTAAGAGATTGATTTCATGTATCTTAAAATTAAAAAAAGTAGACATCGGTGTTTCGAAAACATAAACTAGGATCAATTTGGATACTGTTATAAAAAGCAAAAAAGTCACAATACAAATAATATATAATAGTGTATATCAATGCCTTCTAATAATGTATTGTCCTACAGTGCCTTTGGTCCTTCAAAGGAAACACTAGGAATACTCAAGCCCTATATATCACGTTAGTAGAAATGCAAAATGAAGCCTAGATTGGATCAGATAAGAGTTGCTGCCTTCCTTTCTAATGAGAAGCCAGAGTTACAATTAATGAAAGCTATGTAAATGTGCTCCAGGCTGTTAAGATTACAAAGAGAGTTCAGGGCTGGGGATAAAGAATCGGGAGAACAGAATCCACAATCAGTTACAGAGAGGTCCTCCTATCTCAGACAGGCACACGCATTTCGATATCTCATCAGGAAACCAATTGCATCCAGGTGCCTTTTGGAAGAAAGATGTAGGAACATGCTCCCTCCTATTTGGGGAATGATACAAGGGGGCTACTTTTGAATGATTAATTAAAGGGAATCAATCTTCATTGCTCTGCTACTGACGTGAAAAGCGCCATGCCTGTGCAATAATCACATGCAATTATTCAACTACCCCTTTGGCAAGGACAACGTAATTAGTCCTGGTGGTGTCTAGAGATTCTCTTTATTCCCAACAAATTGGCAGTTTTAATCAAGTGTTGCTGGAAATTTATCATAACACAGGGAAAACAATAGGTGAAGGTACAGGGCCCCAAGCTGTGTGACTCCTATCTACAATGGTACAAATTTACAATGCTAACATGATAAATACTACCAACCCATGAATGTGTTGATTATAATTTCATATCAGCACCAAGCCTTGGCAGTATTTATTTGTTTGGAAACATGGCTGTAACCCTTTTTGAGCTGCCTCCCATTTGTTTGCTGTGGAAGCGAGGTCAGCCCTGGTGGCCTGGGACGTGGAAGGTTGAAGATCACAGGGAGCAGGGGGAAGCTTCCAGAAATGCTAACCTGCTCCCACTGCAGGAGCCTGAGAGCTGCTGATAGCACAGAAAAGGCAAAAAGCAAACTCACCGGGCCTTAGTTCCTGTCTTACTCAGAAGAGCCTTCTGCTGGGGTGATTTTCCCCGGTCTTCTCTCCGCCGTCTCTTTCCCCTCCTTTCATGTACTTCCATGCCTCCTAGAATCTTCGCTTAAAAATAATGCCTAACGTTTATCAAGCACTTGTGGCATGACAGGTGTTATACTATTACCTATGTTGTCTAATGTAACCCTTTATAATGCCATATGTTGGGGAATACTATCATTTTTATCATTCCTGATTTTACAGAAGAGGCAATAGAGGCTTGAAAAATGGGGGACAGCGGATCAAGGATCACAAACCCAGGTGTCTGTGTTCCATGTCTGTGTACTTAGCTGCCTTCTGGGCCCTTCCTGCTCTCTCTTAGGCTGATGCGCTCGATAGTCTTAGGGGCCCGGCAATAAAAAGGTAGACTGACTTTATATGCTTCAACTTGAGTGAGAATGCCACTGTCTACATTATCTCTGCCTTTTTATTCCAAGAAATCATCTCTGTTACCTTCAGGGGTTTATAAATTTTATGGTGTGCTTTTATAACTGGCATACGTGTGTGTGTGTGTGTGTGTGTGTGTGTGTGTGAGTGTGTGTGTGAGTGTCAGGGGCTCAAGAAGGTAGGTATACAGAAAGCCAGAATTTCTGAAACTTGCCTCATCAATAAGAATCCTGGTATCATTGTTAAAAATCAGGTTCCCAGGTTCCTCTCCAGATTTACCCAGTCAGATCCCAGGGAAGGGCCAAGAAATCTGTTAAAAAATTGCTCCAGGTATATCCTTTGAAAAAAAAAAGATTTTTTAAAATTGAGTTTTTAAAGAGAGAGGAAGGGAGAGGGAGAGAGAGAAACACTGATGTGAGAATGAGACATCCATCAGCTGCCTCTTGTACACTCCTTACCAGGGATAGAGCCCCCTAACCAGGGAAGTACCCTGACCAGGAACTGAACCAGCAGTGCACGAGACTACCCCTAACCAACTGAGCCACAACAGCCAGGGCATCCAGGTAGATCCTATAAGTGTGCTTTAAGGCAGACTATCTCATAGTGTGTTCCCCCAAGAGTTAGTTCGATGGGATATTAATCATTATATAAAAAACATGCCCCCTGGTCAGATAATCTAGGGATATGTGGGTTAAATAATATTTAACGAGTTTCTTCTAAGAGACTTTAAATTTAATGCTCAGTGAGAATTTCACTGGCACTCAAATGTTTCCCTAACTCCTGGCTATGGAGCTCCCTCTTCAGTGAGTATCTCCTGAGACTAGGGATTTGCAGAATATACCTGGGAGATCCAGTTCCAAAGGATGCTTAATAAAATGTAAGCATCACCAGGAAAACTTCAGCTGGTAGCTTGAGCAGTTACGGAGTCATTTGGAGGCATAATCACCAATATCTTTTCCCTAAAGGTATTGAAGGCAATTTCTGGAGAATATTTAAACAGTGATAAACTTATCCAGGAATTAGAGAGTGTGCTGAATTTGCTCATTTCAGGTGAGCTTGAGAAATGTTTTAATTCTTTGTCTGATGGGATATTTTAACAGCACGTCTTCAGAGTCATGCTGGAATGGTCCTCAGGAAATAAACCGTGATCCAATTTTTCTTTTTCTATCTCAGTGTCATAGTAGCAGCACAGGCTGAGGGAATAAAAGTGGTTATTTAAAGGGCATTTTGGCATTCGGAAGGAGTCTGGGATCACAGGCTGAAAAGGGTTGGAAACACATCTCATAAATCAAAAGATGTTAGCCCAAATCCCATTTGCTTCAAGGTGAGCCCTCTTCCAAACAAAATCTAAAAGCTGCAAGAAGTCATGATCAGCTCGGTTAACAGCAAAGCAGCTGATCACTGGCCTTTGTAAAATGCAGTGTACTTAACGCAGGTTTCAGGAAGGAACACATCAAGAAGTAACTCCCAACCGGCAGAGCTCATTTGTGGACAAGGCCTTGTCAGTTGCTGCCCCGATCTCACTTTTACTCCTTTGTTCTACTTGTAGCGAGAAGGAACATCTGGCTCAAGGCCTGGAAAGCAGACTCCATCTCTGATTGCACCTGCCCCAGGAGGAGAGGGAGAAACGCTTTACTGACAAAAGGTAGGATTTTTCAGAGCTGCATTCCCACCCATTAAAGCAGCTTGTTTGATCCCTTCAAAGCTCAAGATCAAAGGGAGGCTTTTCCGGAGCTGCCAACCCATAAAACTACAGGCAAAGAGAAGGACCTCTTTGTTTTCACACAGCCAGGTGGACTCACCATTCCAGTTCTCAGCCGAGGAGGAGGGGCCGCGGGCAGGTTGAAGGGTTTTCTCACATCTGGCTGGTGCCATTTAGAACCTGGACCTTCTCAGGAAAGCAGGAGCTACTCCAAGAAGACCTTGGCAAGTCAGACCCCTATTTGGCAAAGAACCCCCTTAAATCTTCCCTCTCCTCACCTCCACCCGGAGGCCAGGTTACCGGGCATTCGATCCAAAAGGCATAACCACACATTTCTGTGCCCAAGGAAAGCTCCTAGCATCTTTTCTCCCTTGTAATTTTCTGAACCCAATTGTGAGAAAACAACCCTGTAGTTTTAAGTGTATTTAAAAATCTCCATTTTATGTGGTGCTTGCTGGCTTTGACGACAGTGGAATGTATGAAACAGGGAAATGAATTTGGACTCGGTTCCCTGAGAAAGTGTGGTGAGAGGATTCTGAGTCCCCCTCAGTCTGTCACCACCTCCCTGCCAGTAGCAGAGCCTGTTGGCCACGGGCCAGTGCCACATGCTGGCTCTGGCCATGGCTCAAGGAACGCCAGGGTAGTTTGTTTCTGGTAGAGAGGCAGCCAGATTGTGACTTCCTCTGGCAAGGGCTGCACAGTGCTATAGAGATTTTTTGCTTTAAAAATAATAGCAACCCCCTCCCACATACAAACAAACATTTATAAGCATATCCAGCAAAAACCACCAGTCACTGGGAGAAATACAGGACTGTAGAGGAAGTAACCAAGGATCTACATGGGCCTGCATCTAACAATCCAACTTACAGGAAGAGAGACAGGTGAAAGGGGAGAGGAAAGAGAAGAAATACTCCTTGGACACCTGAAAATAAGGACAGAAACCAGATAAGACAAAGTCCAAATGAATGAAATAAAAAAAAAACACACACAAACCCCCCCCTCCCACAATTTCTGGCAGTCTAGTAGGCCTTAAACTACACTAAGCCTGCTTTAGGTCTTATGCCCTGGGACTAATTTGTCCCATAAAAATAATCTTCATGGAAATAAAATGGGGTATCACAGGCTTCTATGAATAGAAATTTAAAGAAGCATTATCTATTTTTTAAGTTATGCATCTCTTCCAGGTCCTGTGCATGAGGCCAGTTGGAGAGAGGGATGAGCATAGAAAAGCTATATTCACTAAGAGGGTAGCTGAGGTTAGAGACACAGAGAATTGGATCATCTATTCACCGAGAAGGGGAAGGTAGAGGCCTGAGTGACAGGGTCACAACTGTGAGAAGTGAGGCAGTTGGGAGGAATAGTGGGCAGTGAAATAGGAGGCAGGAAGCAGTCATTTCCTTGCATCAACTTGGACAGAACCCTGATCTGCGAGAGGAGCCAAATGCTTTTGGATGTCACTGGGTCACTGTCTTTTCCTGGGCTCCACCTGGGTGCTTATCCTGTTCCTGTTTCCCCAACTGGACTTCTGCTACAGAGGCAAGAGTGTGTGGTGGTTAGAATGCACCTTATGTATCACCCAAAGTCTCTGTAGCATTCTCCCCTGAGAAAACAAAGGGAAAGAAGGATAATGGTAAATATTGAGACAATGAGACATAAGCGAGACCTTTCACACACTTGGAGAGATCAAACTAGGACACAGAGAGGCCAAGTTCAGGGTTGGGCTGTCCACCTGGCTCTCTAAGCCTTGGTTGGAGAAGGGAAGAGCCAAGCATCCTGCTTCACAGCCCTCCTTGGCATCATAAGAAAGCAACCAGGATTGCCCCAAAGGTAGAATTTTCTTGGGTCCCATTTTTCTGAATGTTAGCAAGTTATTGACTGAAGTTGAGTTTGTGACAGATGTGTCAGCGATTCCATGCTTTTGGTGGAGGGCACGGATATAGGGGAAGCCCCACATATCCCATGATCCTAACATTTCTAATTTTTGGAGACACCCTATATTGCCCCCCAAAATGTCGTCCCTTCTCATAGAAAATACTGAAAAAAGAGATCCCCCCATTTTTAAGAGTATTGAAGCTAAAAGACACCTTAGTTTATGTGTTCTATCAATATCTTGTGAGGAAATTGAGGCCCAATGAAAATATGTAGTTGACTTGCCCAGACCTGGAGTGATGGGTAATCAGTAAGGACTATAGTAACAGGAAACACTAAAACAAATGAGGCCATCTTGATCTGTCTGGGTACTGGCCAAATCAGGAAGGTTAGTTTATAGCAAATTCATTGCCCCTTTTCTACCTAAATAATAAAATTATGGTGCATTTGTCTGTTTTAAAATTGTCACCAGGGAAAGCACATGGTGACAATAATACGGGAATCAGAGGCCTCAGTTCTTGTCCTGCTCTAGTCTATTAGTTGTGTGACCTCTCTGAGCCTCAGTTTTCATAAAAGTAAAGGGAAATGATCATAGCTACCTTGCCTGATTCAAAGAGTTTCTATGAGAATAAAACATACATATGTGATAGCATTTTGAAAACTATAGAGCTTTTATATGTAAGTTAATATTTCCTGTGAAATCTTCGCTAAGGAAGTGGCTTTGCCCTTCAGGTAAAGTAATAAAGCATCACTCAAGCAAGACAGTCATCTCAACAAATCGGATGTCTTGTTAATTTTAAAGGCCAGAAATAAGGGAGGTGATGGGGCCCTTTGAATGTTGTTTCACCATAAAGTCTAAGCAGCAATTATCAATGCCTACAAGTTTTCTTGATCTACCTGACTTGGTGAAAACCCCGGTGAAACATTTGGCAGAAATGAATAGCAACTGTCAGTGAGGTTTACTTAATGGTCTTTAAACTATAAGTATTTATCAAATATCTACTAGCACTTATACTAAATGCTGAGTGGAAAAGTGTGTTGCATAAGATTGTAAGCCCTCGGGCCATAGGTGTCATGTAATAAAATATAGAATCATAGAATACATACAGCACATGTGTTTTATACATCTGAGTAGCTATGATGGCAGTATCAACATGTCCAGCACGGGCCCACTGACCTTAATAGATCCTGCCTGTCCCACCTCCTATTTTATGCCCTAGCAAGATTCAACTCCTATCCCCCAAATACCATGAAAACCTCGTGTCCTTGTTCATTGTGTTTCTTCCACCTCAACTGCTTTCTCTCTTACTCCTACTTCTCTTTTTCTTCCAACCGTTTTTTCTACTCTCCTTTCTGGTAAACATGTTAATTCTATAAGACTTAGCCATAAACTTTTGCAGTTCATTCAGGTTGCCTCAGCCCATCAATTTTGTTGAGTTAGATGCTTCTCTTCTCTGCTTCTCCAGCAACACATAGAATAAAATTCAAGTTGTTAGAATGAAATCTGCAACCTTTCACTGGACTGTGGGATCTAATCCTGACCTCCTGCTGGGCCTCATCTCCCACTCTTTCCTTACAAATATTGGCCTTCACATTCTTCTAACTTTTCCAACATGCCAAACTTTTAGAGTCTTTGCATTTGCTGTTTTCTCTGCCTAGACCCAATATTTGTGTGTCAACTCATATGTTATCTTCTCAAATATTTGTGGAATGGTTGATGGTTGATTGCATATCCGTGCCCCAGTATCTAACAAGGCTAAAGAAATGTTTGTTGAGTTGACCTTAAGACATGACATAATCTCTGAAATCCTCTGTTGGGACAGAGAAAAACGATAGCCTTTTTTTTTTTTTTTTTAACGTGAATAATATCCACACAGCAGCATCTTCTCTACAGTGTCAAAGTGTAGAGAATTTCTGAATTAGTAGGGTTTTGCTAAACAACTAATAGCTCACGAGATCTTAGAACTTTTGCCTTTTGATCTTAGGGATCAGTTCAAGCTCTTCGTTTGATGAATGAGAAAATTGTGATATTCCAATTACAGAATCCTGGGCTATAACATCTTATGGTTTTCAAAGCAGAACTGTGGATGCTGTGTTAATAGAAAGATGGGGTTATGTACATGTGGTTGTGATGGTCAGAGAGTGAAGTAGAAAGTACCAGTGAAAACCAGAACTTATTGTGGAGTCTGTGCCTAAATGCCAACCTCCCAGTTCCCTCTGAGTCTCTGTCTCTTGTATGCCTTTCTTTCCCTCTGCATTCCACTATTCCCTACTGGCAACATAGGGAGAAAAGGGTGTGATCTCAAGAGTGGGCAAAAGGGTGAAAGCAATAAAACACATTTTGTGGTAATAGTTTAGTGCTCAGACCAGCTCCCTGACAGCTTGGGACTATGTTACATAAGAGAGCAGGGGACACCTATTAAATGTGGGTTGTTGATTTTGAATTTGAGAGCCTTGGAGTCTTTAGATGGTCTGTTGATCGCCCAGTGCAAATGGCAACCCCAGCGTGGGAATAAAGGAAAACTGGGGCTTCTCAGAGTTAGAAGGATTCAGTGATTAATGATTTGCTTGGACTTCAGAGACCTGGCAGTGCTCCAAGACCCTGTCCATGGTTACCTCAGGCTGTGAGCGTGTGGAATTATACAGGTGCAACTGGGGGCATTGACACCAAGAACTCACAGCTTTAGGAAGAATCTATCAGTCCATTGTAAACAGTGATCTATATTTAACAACTAGAGTGGTCTTAATAAAATTTTAATCATATTCCAACAATGAAAGAATCATAGACTTTTCACATGCATCAGGTTTAATACCTTGTGTTAACAGAAATCAGTCCAAAAGTGTGAAAAAGGCATGCTCTATCCTATTGGCCAAAAAAAAAAAAAAAAGACTTCAAACCAAAAATTAGTTTCCATATTTTTCAAATTCTAATGAACAACACATAATTATATATAGAGGACTCTCTGGACAGCTGGGTAGAAACATTGAAGTTCTGGGTTTTCTTTTGAGTCCTGCTTACATTTTTCTACCTATATTGGCCCCAAATATGGCTTTAATCAACATATTTTATTGCT